CCCCCGCTCTCCTGTAATCATACTCTTACAGTCCGTATAGTTGCACGCCATCCCCTCCTCTTGCCACGCATACCCTTATCTTATTCATGCTTGGTCAATCAATGCCGCCACCTCTGCTGCCCTCATTCCGCTGATGCTCGTCCTCCTCGCGCATCATCATCGACGGGCCGCATCCCCACCCCCCAAAGCCAATCAACGCAAATAAGCGGTATTCGCTCGCGCACCCGTACACCCGTAAACCCGCAGTACCCCGTACTCGTTTCCAGTCCCGAGCTCCGGTGTCTCCTTACACCACACTAATGGCACTCTGGCTGCTGCTAGTGAGGCTCGCGCTGCTGAACGATGTCTTAGCGTGAAAAGCCGAGTGCCGTGTCGAAGGTTGCTCCAACAAGCGCAGAGTCGTGAGAGACGAGGAAGCCTCGGCCGACGGAGGCGAAAGCGACAAGTTGGACGACGTTGCGTGAGAAGGGATGCTCAATCCCAACGTCTCTGGGATCGGGACGGTGGACGTCGGGATACAGGCCGTCGGACGACATATCTTGGAATTAGAATTGGAGGGCACAACGGCTCCAGGAAGTGGGGGGTGAGGTGCCCCCCGAGCAGCAACGGTGACCGTGCCGGCAGCTGCGCACTCTTGATGCTGCTGCTGAGGGAGTTGATGGCGGCTAGCAGTGGGGGGATGGGATGGCGGGTGCCCATGGTGGTGAAGAGCATGTGGATGATGTTGTTGCAGCCCGTATCCCAATGGGCTGAGGCCGGGCCAAGGAAGAACAGAGAAGTGGTGAAACGTCATTGCCGGCGAAGGCCGATGCGGAGGCGGCGGATTCCCTCCTGCTACTGCTGACGGTAGTACTCTGGACAGCGCGAGTGCTGTCAACGGTGCGCCTCGACCGCCCCCGCATGCTCCACCTCCCCCCGCTCCACCGGTTACTACAGTGACACCCATCGCCGACGCTTGCCTGGACGGGCTCTCTGGCCTTCTCCCCGACTCCGCCACGGCTCCCCCTCCATCTCTCTGTTGATCTTGCCCCTCCTGCTGATGCTGGGGTTGTTGGTTACGACTCTCCTCGGACGAGCCGTCAGACCTACTGCACATCAAGGATTTCTGTTGCTCACAACCCGAAGGGCAAGGCGGAGACGCAGAAGAGCAAGACCTCATCGGCACGATGGTGTGCTCCCCGGCAGCACCGGGGCCGGGCGCCGCCAACGTCACCACCACAGCATCTCTTTGTCCAGCAGTCGAGCTGCTGACCGTAACGGCGGGGCCTGCAGCGACAGCGGGATTCATGTCCCCCACCGGTCCCGAGGCTGACGGTTGAGGAGGCATCGTGGCGGCAGCGGCGGCCAACATGTGATGAAGAAACTGGGGGTCAAGAGGGAAGGCGGGCATGGCGACAGGGAAGGAATGAGAGCGAGCCGGGTCGAAAAAGGAAGGATGGTGATGGTGCTGAAAGCCTCCCGCAGTGTGCGACAAGTGATGTAGAGGTACGGCCGTCGGCGGAGGAGAGGAGCTCGAGCTGGTTTGCGTTCGACGTCCGACGTTCTCATCCGTAGACCCGTTGCCGGCGCCTCCAGCGGATCCCACAGCAGCACCGCCCACACCAACAACGTGAACCAACGGCATCTGCTGCCACAACAACACCAAAGCACAGACATAGAGCGAGAGAGAAGAAAACGGAGGCGGCACCGGATATCAGTACGCCGGCCAACGATGGTCATTTCCACACAATCAATGTAAAACGCCCCCGCAAACTCAGCAGCACCATCCCCACACACTCAAGTCCAAGAACCGGGGCAACACAGCTACTACAACGCCGATGGAGAGGACGGGAACAACAACGACAACAAGAACAAATCTACAGGGAAACCAACATGCGCCCAGGGAGAAAATGAGAGAGGGAAGAGAACATAACATGCGACCAGAGCAAATACCAAGCAACCACGAGGACGAGCGGCAAGCAAAGGTAGTACGTGGTACAGAGGGCGGGAAAGAAAGATTTTCGTTATTCACAAGTCGAGGTGGTGATACCAGTGCGCACCCCCCCCCCCCAAACTATTGCACTGCTGTGTTTGTTCTCTTACCCCGTCAGTAACGATGTCAAAAAGGCTGGATCGTCGCTTCCTCTTGTTCAGATTGCTCTGTCTAATGAAGTACTTCTGTGCATGACTTGCCACTTGAGTGGGCGTTCTAGTCTGCACGTAATTTCGAGAAATTCCCCTCCAGTCTCCTTTGCCGAGCTTTTGCAATCCGAGCAAGAACATGCGGTGCTCTTCCTCTGTCCAAGGAACCCCTGCATCAGTATTCAGCACAGTAGCATCACACACGATGATAAGCATACAACACAGGGACCACGCAACAGCCAAAACAAAAATCAACGTACATCTCAGAGAGAGATAAATATCTAGAAATTTGTAATTAGCGGATGCAAAACTCCGCACTAAAAAATAAAAAATAAAAAAAATCGAAACTCTGAATTACCTTATTAAACAGAACGGCGACGATGTCATCGTCGGCAGGCAGCAAAGCCAGTTGCCCTGAGCAGTGCGGTTAAAAAACCGTAGAGCAAAAGTAGAAAGAGGATTAAAAAAAGGCATCTGCGTTTACGGTTAAGAGAACACGGGAGAGGCGCATCGCAATGGTAAATCGCATCCTACAATGAAGTAGAGCCCTTTTCCGGGGGTAAAAGAAAACGCCATCCTGACGAAAATGAACAATCTTTTACGCCTGCGGGCAAATTTTGAGCGCCACACCGACGAGATCTTCCAAAGGAATGAGAACGTGGCTTTGACGACTTCCGTTTCGACAACTCCAAGGGGGATACAGAAGAGCAGAGGCGACCAATAAAGCGCGGGAAGGAGACCAAATACAGAAAGAGAAGTGAAAAAAACGCGAGAAAGGCACTGAGAGGGGGCGGGAACTTGCACGGTTAAAAAGCGAAGAAGATACTTCCATTGCGGAGAAATCGATCGTGTGGCAGAGCATGAGAGGGACGACAATAGAACCCATTCCGCCGCAGGCGACACAGAAGGGACACCTAAAAGCACAGCAGGAGCGCCAACCAATCGCGTAACCGACATCTTTTTCTTGATCCCCCGACTGAACTTCTGTTATTAATTACCCTCTTGATTCCAGGACTAAACTTCCATTTAACTGATTACCCTCGATAAGTGTGTTTTTTGCTGATATGACCCTCAATCGGAGAAGCGCCTAGCCAACCAACCAAGCCGCCCATCCAGCTCTACGAATTGTTTCTTCTATCTATATTGCTAATAACACAAAGACAAAAATGGAGTGCTACAGAGTGAAAGCAGGATCAATCGGAACAAGTGAGGGGACCGCGTAAGGTCCATGGGGATTGGTACTGTTTGCCGATCACGAGGTCGCAGGCATGCTTGACCTCCGCGTGGTAGATATGGCTCTCGTTATGACGAGAAGACGAGAATCCTGCACCGCGGAAGAGCATCCGAGAAAGCACGAACGAGGTACGTTTCCAAGACAACCAGAAAACCCGGCAAGGAGGGAGATAAACACTTGCAAATGTAGACAGAACGTGCGAGGTTTTACTTTCACAGCATACACGTTATGTCCATGGCATGTAGACAAGGAGGGAGAAAGAACGGATCAAAGAATGGATCATCGGAAGACAACGGGAAGACAACGGGAAGACAACGGGAAGACAACGGGAAAACCCGACAAGGAGCCAGAAGACAACGACGACGAAAGCGGACAACGGAAAACCCGAGGGAATATCCGCGAGAACGCAAACGAACTGAAAATGATATGGGAGGTCGATCAGACGCGCAAGTTGGAGGGAGAAAAGAATGGATCACACAGCCCCACCTGCAAAGCTGATCGGGTTGCTTATATATCGTCACACAGATATCAGAGCGCTTGCTTATATATTTATATAGGTGGGTGATGCTGTTAGAACGACGATGCTCAACGTTCTGTTTCTTTTTGCCTATATATAGAAGAAATTGGAAAGAACACTTCCGTCGCATCACGCTTTCTTGGCCGCCAAGAATTGATTACGTAAGTCGCATCGTACTGGAAAAAAAAAAAAAAAAAAAAAAATGGCCGGCGCCTGATTGCATGAAAACTCCTCCAGCCTAGCGAGCGAAGGGGAACAGGACGGCGACAGGGAGAGAGGGAGAGGGAGAGAGGGAGAGGGAGCGAAAAGTGACAGCTGTGCTGAGCATGCTAAATATATAGCTCCAGGTGCAGACAGTCTTTTTTGCCCCCCTCCCTCTCCCCGCAGCTCCGTCTCCGTTTTCCATCTAGGGGCCACTTCCCGATCTCAAGCGGTATGGATTTCGGATGCGCCACATCCCCGCCGAGCCCTCCTTGCCATCCTACCTCTCAGGCACAGTTCGCGATTCTGCTATAGGTGAGAGTAGCAGGTATAACAAACAGTACATAGAGAACAAAAACGGGGCACCGAAAAAGAAAAGGAGACAACAGATACAGACAGAAACAAACAGGGAGAGACGGAAAGAGACGGGGAAAGACGGACACACAGAGACACAGAGAGAGAGAGAGAGAAAGACAGACAGATCCACGTTGCTCCGCGTTCGATACCTGCTCGATAACGCGCGGTGCGCGTACGAGCAGCGAGAGAGAGCGGGGCACTTAACGGGAAAACTTCCCCCCCTCATTCTGGGCACGCACTCTGCTGAAACTAATTAATCATGAAGAGAGAGATCGAGAGAAAAGTAGCGGGCGCGGAAAGAAGAGAAAGAGAAAGAGAACGGGTTCACAGGCAGAAGCCAATACATGCAGAGAGGATGACCGAGGACCGGAAGGAGGCAAGAAACGTCGGAAGGAGAGAAAAACACAAGGTGAAAACTTGAACGAGCTCAACATATCATAGGACACGCTGTGAGAGTTGCGCACAGGCAGGCAAGGCAGCTTACCCTTTTTCCTCTCCCTGGCGTTTGTCGAAGTTTGCACGAGTCCATCGGAAACGTAGCCGTCCGGTGGTGCCGCTCCCTCGGAGTTATCGGGAGTGGAACTCTGATTCCCATTGGGATACGAATTAAGATTGCCCGTGCTGACGCTCTTCCGCATTGCGTTTTCTGTCAATCGCACTCCAAATAGACGTACTCCTCTGTCAGGACATGTCCGTGAGTTATGCCCGTTGTGACCACAATGTGAACATCTCCGCGTCATCGCTATTGAGCCTTGTTGATACCGCTTCGCTGATAAAGAATGCCCCTCCACCCTTCAAGCGCGATAACGACCGACAGGTGGTGACAACAGAACAAGGGGGCAACCAATAAATCGAGAAGAGAACCCGCCGCTGAAGGATCCCGCCGGCAACGAGGGGCAGAGAGACCACGCGGAGTCGGCGAAGGAGGTCGCGGAAGAACTTTCGGGGCTCTAAATTGAGACGAGGAACAAAAATGGGAGGGAGGCGGAATACGAGAGGGCAAGATTTTTCTTTCTCCTCCGTGTCCTTCCTTGAACCAAGGCAGGGAGGCGGAATACGAGAGGGACCACGATAACAGCGTTGGCGTTGGCGATGATAAAGAGCGCCGTGATTATTATTATAGGCGAAAGGAAGAACAAAGATTGAGAGATGCGGCACGTTGCAAATATAGGCAGGTAGATAACGGTTAATAAGAGGATACGAAGTGAAGTCGAAGGAGATGAGAACCAAGGGAAACGCTCCCTCTACCTCCTCACTAGCTCGCTCGACAATGTGGGCAGTTCGGTACGCCTACTAAACGATGAACAGGAGCGATGAAAGTGGAATAATCGCCAATGAAAATGGTGGAAAAAGGGGCTTACCAACGACGCGCACGAGGACGTCAACGGTGACGAATCAAGATGGATGAGATCATGATAAGATTAAAACAAGCAGAAAAGACTCCAGAAACGGATACGCCCACAAGAACTAACCAATGAACAGCCGGAATGTCAGGAAGATGACGAACCGTCGTTCTTGATTTTAATAAATGTGTACATATAGAGATACATATAAAATACATAGGCATATATATATGGATATAAACGTATAAAAATGTATATAGATATTTATACGTACCTGTTCCTCTCTCTCTCTCTCTCTCTCTCTCTCTCTCTCTCTCACACACACACACACACACACACACAAAGGCGCCCTTAGTTTGTAGCTCTGTGACGATATGTTGATGCGTACGTGTATTGACACATGTCCCAAGAAACGAAGACGGAGACAGTAACTGAAAGGGAACCGTGACAGACTATCTCGCAGGATTCTCTCCGACGCTTGTACCTCTGTGCTGAGTCATATAAGTGCCTCTCCGCCCTTCCACTTCCTCCTCATCTATGCCCTCTTGATGGACTGCAGCTCCTCTCTCTCTCTCTCTCTCTCTCTCTCTCTCTCTCTCTCTCTCTCTCTCTCTCTCTCTCTCTCTTTTCTTTTTCTTGGATTTCGAGTTTCAAGGCCGCTCCCCCACACCCCCTGTCGATAGCTGTGTAGAGAACCCTATACCTGTCTCTTATACACATCTAGATGTGTATAAGAGACCTCATCTATGCCCTCTTGATGGACTGCAGCTCCTCTCTCTCTCTCTCTCTCTCTCTCTCTCTCTCTCTCTCTCTCTCTCTCTCTCTCTCTCTCTTTTCTTTTTCTTGGATTTCGAGTTTCAAGGCCGCTCCCCCACACCCCCTGTCGATAGCTGTGTAGAGAACCCTATACGACCCACCAAGAACTGGCCTTCACCCCCCCCCTTCACCCCCCCCGGGACAACCACCCCGTCTCCCTCCGCCTTTTCCCTCCCTTTCTTCCTGCTCGACTCGCAATACTACACCGCCCAACACCAGCTCGCTTTACCAAACACCACTCCACATACGCTTCCCAGCCCTATGACAAATACGCAAAACTCCGTTTTTCTTCGAATAAACTTGGATCTTCTGGCGTTTCCCAGTTTCGGCCTTTTGACGTGTGCCCACTAACATACACGTGGCGCCCTTGTATCGCTTTCTGTGCCGTACGAGGCCACGCCAAAAATATTGTACCTGGCAACAAACCACAGGTTTCGTTCTTTGGTCCTTCCTCTCTCCCTCCTTCTCTCTCGCGCCTGGAGCTTAGTCGGCTCTCAAGTTCCTCCGCCCAACCCTTATTCCACTCACGAAGGAGATACGACTACGATCTGCTGCCACGTCGCCGCCGTCGTCGCCGTCGCCGTTTTCCGGTTCCTGGCAAAAATCTTTCCGTTTTTTGCAAGCTCTGGATAAAAGGAGCCGGGATGTTATCCGCATAGCGCTCAACCGTCGACCTATCGACGTATGACAACACGATCTGAC